GAGAGAGAGAGAGAGAAAATCGTAAAGAATCGGTTGGCGGAACGGAGATCGAGAATGTTAATATACAATAAATGGAGAAATTTCTTACTCATCTTGCTTTCGACGATGATTCAATTTCGATTGCGTCTATATTACTTTCTTCCCATTGTCATCTTCTTCTTGTATTTCGACTTTCAATCGACGTGATTTCATTCTCAATAGGTTGTTAGTTGGAAAGACAATGTTTTGCAAATTGAAATTTTTGAATAGAGTAAGAGTGATTGAAAAATAAGAGACATTGGAATTGGAAAGGCGAGTTATTATTCTTCCACGAATTTTATAACGAGACTTGGTGGGATGGAGACTTGTTGCCCTATTTAATACAGCTAGCTCGTTCTATAGTTTTATTATTTTTATTTTTTTCTCATTTACTTGTGAACGATCGTGAATGAGGTAAATCTTGTTCTATATTTTTATAACTTTTGTTATTTGTTACCATCTCGAAGTAGTAACACCAAAGAAGTAGAAATCACCAAATCGATCAAATTTTGACAAATTTTAAATTTATCTTACTTTCAAAAAACAAGAATTAATACTACAGCTATATTTAATTACTTTCAATTCTATCGTATATTTAGTACAATATCATCACTATTTAATTATGATAAGCAACTCTTGTAATCTAGAAAAAATAGATGATGGAACATTTACGAGATCCAAATCAATTTCTCGAAACAACAATTTTACTTTAACTTTAGGAAAACAAAAGTTATTCACACATTCAATGAGATCGTTTACTTGGTAATTCTCAAAATTTAGAAAAGATACGAGCTTTCTTTTTTACGCGAAGAATCGACGCCAAGAATCAAATTCGTAGCGATTAATCATGGAAATTTTCTCCCCCGTATAATCGAGGAATATTGACAGTTATTCGAAAAACACTTTCTATGATTCGCTTCACTTTTCATTCGCTAACTTCTTACCTCGTTCTTGCTTCGTTCCTTTTGCGTAACGGAATAATTAGCGAGTCTCGTTCATATTTGTGAACGAACAAAGAAAGTTTTATAAACCACGAAGCTTGTTTGATAAACGAAGTATTCTCGAGTGCGAAGCAACTTTCGATCAATTATCAATATTAAAAACAGTGTTAACAACTTCAATCAGTTATTAAATATTAATTAAATAATTAAAAATGTCAAGATTCTTTTGATTGCAAAAAAAAAAATATCGATAACGTTCACTCTTTGCTTCGACATAATTATCTTTCTCAATTGTTGGAAGTGAGATCTTGAAGATCCTTGAGATTCTTTATTCTTTATTCAAATTCATCTTCCTATGTTAATCGAATTTGCAGTTTGTTGCTTTTCAGAGAGAAAATGTTTCCTGAACAAATTTGATCCTGAAAGGTTTAAAGAAGTTGAAGGGATAAAATGAACGAGACGTCATCAAGTTTCTCTCGATATAAATCTTTACTTTCTCCTGCGCCGTTCCCTATAAAACTTGTAAGGCTCGGTGTCCATCAAGTCGTCCCCCGTGTCGAGATAATCTTGCCTTTTGTATTTGTTGTGGGGCACGGTTAGCACCTCGTAGCTCCCTCCCGTGTGGCCCTGTGCGACCCTCTTCAGCCCCACGATGGCCGCCAGAATCAAGCTCATCAAGCTCAGAACGACCGCCTTCCCGCTTAAAATGGCCAACGTCTTCAAGGCAATAGGCAGGAGAATCGATTTTATCAACATGAATCCTACGATCAGGGGAATGACGTATTTGTTCAACTTGTGTTTCTTCTTCCTACGAGCTGCAACAAATTGATAACGATACCAAAAACTGGAGAAGAGCATGGATTATTTGTTATGTGTATATATATTACCTAAATTTTTAATTTTAATTCTTTCCGTGGATAAATTTCAGATGGACAGCAAAAAATACGACAATTTTTGAACGAATAAATTAAATTAAACCGAACGACACGATGTAAATTTAATGATTAATCCATTTTCGATTATCGATCGAACTACAAAATCGGATACCGTTTCTATGTCATCGGAGATGCACCAAATAACGCAAGTCATTGGAGGCAAAAAAGAAGCTGATTAGTCACGTTCGCGAAATGAACAAGGTAATAAGGTAATAACTGGAGTGGAAAGCATTTATGGTTATTGCGTTGACCAACTGTGTGCTGTGTGAACGGCCGTGCTTTCGCGTTATGATGCATATTAGACGTCACTAATGAGCTCGTCTAACAACATTGCCGCGCAACCGTGCAATTAACACGTTATCGTGACGCGGTTTCATCATTTGTAAGAACGGTAAATATTTCTAAAATTATTCTATTATAAGATTTTATATTTTTATTTTAAAAAATATATATATATATTTTTCGACTCGACTCGAATTACCTCGTATTCCGTCGAACGGTGATCGAGTCACGGGAAGAACGGTGCCAGCAACGTTCAAAATTCCATCACCGATCCAATCCGCGGGCCTTCTCCAATTTTCCAGCTGGGGCTTCCACCTTTCCTGTATCATGGTGGCCTGTGTGCTCTCCGCCATCGTTAATAACAGAGGCAGGAACAGCAACGGATAGAGCAGCAGCATTCCTCTAATCGCTATAGGCACGCTGTCGACAAATACGTGATATATTCTATGTAACAGGAACTTGACGATGGATGGAGCGGTTCTCAAGAAATTCAATTTATCACTTGGATCACCACGGGAGAGAAAAGAAATGCGTCATCCTCCAAAAGAAGAATTGTGAGATCGATCACAAAAAAGAAAAGACTATAGAGTTATGTATATTATAATTATATATATATATATCTGACCATCGAACAATATTGTTTCAATGTCGAATATTTTTATCTACAGATTCTCGAGAAGGAAGTGTAAGAGCAACCGTCCGATCGGCAAATCAAATGTTAACTGACATTCGCCCTAGGCCGGACCATTAGTTTATATATAGGTGGGACGTGAAAAGGCCAGAAGAAGGAGACCGCCATCTAACTTGGTACTTGACGCGTGACGAAAAATACACTGTCCATTCCACCTCCGTCTTCTCTTCTCTTCGATCATTGGCCACCATTGGTCCCCGGAACATTTCGATCGGCGACAATGGGACGCGACACGCTCCCGTGAAAAAAACACCGTGCGCGATTTCGATCCGTTAATTATTGGCCAATTTCACAGTCGAGTTAATTAATCGATCTTGAAGGGATCGCTTCGATATACGTCCAATATGGCGGAACGAAGGATCCTTTTCCTTCGTTTCGATAAAGTTTGGAAGTTTGGAAAGGTTTCACCTATTTTCCTACAAGTTGAGGTTTTATTTATTCTGAAGGTTTGAATGATTTGGAGATTATTATTATTATTAATATTATGGAGATTTATTGCGAAAATTTATGCCAGATACTCACGAATCTCTCGCGTGTTTTTGCTCGATCCTTTGATTAAGACGTATGAATTAGTTGTTTAATAACGCACGAGATCACGCAACGAGGCGTCAATTTTTACGATGTCGAGTCGGTGAACGATTTTAGGATACGAAAGCTTTCGTAATTTGGATTATACAAGCAACACGGATCTGTTTATCGTGCGAGTCGTTGGAGCAAAACTAAGTAAATTTTATTTTAAAGTGCACGCGTTTAATTTTTTTTTTTACTCGTGATTGCGTGTCTTTTTAAGATTCTCGTTAAGATTTTACGTTATTCAAATTACAATTTAAAAAAATATATTGCATAATGGAAGTTGGATCGTTTTTCGTTGCAAACCTTTCAATCAATTTATTCACAACTTCACCGTGAAGTTGAAATGAATTGGATCGAGATCGGCGAAAAAAGGAGCACAAGACCGGCATCCTATTTAATTTTGAGTTCTTTGAAAAGAAAAATCTCTGATCGTTCTGGTTATCGCGACCGCTTTCGACGCTTTTTGTGTAGTGGGCAACACCCGACCGTTACATTTCTTTGGAAATAAAACTGCTTTGATATCGATCGTTACGGCGACACGCAACGAACGAGACAAAGAACGCGGAAAGAGGAGAGGGACACCGCAATGATGACAGTGATTTTGCAGGCAGGCATAGTAGTAGTGGAGTAGAGTTTTCGTCCTCCCATTTTTCCTTTATACTCCTTCCCCTACTTTTTATTCCGTGTCCCGTTTCTCGTGCAATTATTCGCGTCACCGTGTTCACGCAGGAAGCTACGAAATTACCCTTGCCTTCCTCGTGGAACGTTGCAACGCTCTTTCACCTGCCACTTGAATAGGAAACTGGACAAGCTCTGACTTCGCCTCGACTCGAGGAAGATTTCGTGTGACACGGCATCTCCGATTTAATGGCCCTTTTTTCATCATCCTCGTAAATAGCGGAGATTACCTCGATCGAGCCGTCCAATTTTTTAAATTTTTAATCCTCTCTCGCCAAGTTCTCGATCGAAATATTCGGGCCGCTCTAATTATTGACTCCGACTCCGTTATATCCTCTTTTTTCACTCGTTCAGTTTTATCGCTCAGCGGAATTATCAAACTTTTGAAATTGAATTTTTACGAAAGTTCTTTTCACCGTTGAAGTGAAATTCGCATCGCCCCATAGATAGTATGTTATTTCCAGTTACTTTTTCTAACGGTACGCCGCGTGATAACGACACGATCGAATTTTCACAAATTTGAATATCGCCGAGAGGTGTACGTAGTGGAAAATATACTTGGAAAGTGTTTTTACCGACGATAACACGCGATCCGATCCAATTTAACAATCTGCGTACCAATATAACGCGCGATATTGAGTTTGCCCAAGCATTGAGAGGCGGCTTTCTAACAATCGTTTATCTGTGTTTAAAGCGATTGACAGAAAGAATTCCATGCAGGTATTCCGGAACGCGATAAACTGTATCGCGTGCGGTGCATCGATTTTCACGATTCCAAGAACTCCGCGCTAGAAACCTCTCCTCTTAGTCTCGATTATTTTCAAGTTTAAAAGTGGAACGCCGTAACACCTTCCCCAAACTCGATCCTTACATTTTTTTCTAATTATCGATCATTTTATGGTAATGGTTATTCGTACACGTAAATAATTTTCAACCAAAGGGAAGCGAATAATAACACCGCATCCTTATTTAAATATAGAATCATTATCTATTTTCATGGATCGTAAATAGGTTTCGATGAGAAAAAAAAAAAAAACTTTCATCTCGTTTCGACCCAATTCAATTACTTTAACCTTGAAATCATTGTACACTTTAACATTTTCCAATTTCCATCGAGCTTTACTCTTAATTAATTCGAACGAAGGGTTCAAATCATCTGGCGCGTTCAAAGATGTTCAACTTTTTCCACGTTTGAAAAAATTAAAACCATCGTTTCTTAAATCTTAAACGATTAAAGATTTTCAACCTTTCCACTTTCTTTCCTCGACATCCCCTCTCCTCCAATCCCCCTTGGTATAAATACCCAAGATGATACGTTCGTAGGATCGATCCACCCAGCGCCGCGATTCGTTCGTCGGGCCTTCGTCACTCCACTTGTCATCGGCCCGGTTAAACAGCGTAGCGTAACTGAAAAAAGATCGCATCGTCCACGTCGCGGTGTGTGATTACGCGGGATCCAGCGCTCCACCCCCTCATTGTCCTTCCTTCCTTCCTTCCTTGCTTTCTTGGAACGCGGCTTGCAATCCCCTGTACCGTTGGACGATGTAACCTGACACATATATCGCCGACAATTCGGATCATAGAGTTTGTACCGCGCTCATATATTGCCGCCACGTCGCGCGGTGCTCATTTTTCACGGACTGTCGATCCTCCTGGTAACTGAAGCGTGCCCTGGCCGGCCACAGCCCCTCCGACAGATCGTTGCCGAGGAATCAAGAGCGCATCAGTTAGCTCGCGGTCGCGGTTGCTCGCTGTTGCACTCCGTCACCTGCCAACGATAATTTGCATTTCCAAGTGAGTGCTTTATTTTTTTGTCCACCCTTTTTCTTCTTCCAGTGTTTAAAGTTTTGAAGCCCCGTTGGGAATAGATTAGATTAAACGAGCTTGAACGATCGGTGGATGTTAACAAGAGGAACGTAATAATACATAAGAAGGTTTTTTAAGGTAAGGAAGCTTGGATGGATAGGGTTGAATTGGGGTAGTAGTTTCTTCGAGGATTCAATGTACGTTTAAAAATATTCTAATTTTCGAATTTTGAGCGAGATCACTTCGTCGTGATACGTTGAAATTTGATGAAGTGTTTTAAATTTGGTTGTCGTTCACGCTTTGTCACGCTTTTTCAGAAACAATTCGGAATAATGGATGATTAAGGAGAAGAGTGATGGTGTGGCCGGTCAACGACGGTCGTGATCAAGAAGATCGTGCAACCGGAGGTATTTTTGAACGTTTCGAGGATGTGAATTGAGAGGCGGCGTGTTTGTAAATCGTGGAGGACGTGGAATGAACTCGGGACGATGAAATCGAGAGTGAATCTAGTCGCGATTCTGTTGACTTTGGGCTGCGTGGCGCGCGTATTGGAAGGATTGAAGAGTGACGAGAAGCATGCGAGTCAGAAGGAGTATCCACTTGGGAGGAAGATCGTGAAGGAGGTTCATAACAAAGTCGCGTCATCTCAAAGCGCGGCTCTTCTGCGGGTAGAAGATAAAACTAAAATTGTGAAGAGCAAGAATACCGGTTTCGGTTTGTCGAAAGATTACTCTCGTGAATCAGGTAATGTTCTCTCTGAAGAGAACACGTTAGAAAATAATTGTTATTATTTACGTACTACAGATCATAATATTTTTATATGATCAAATAACAACGTATATTTAATCGTAATGTAATTTTCATTCTCATTTATTAATCTCTCTTACCATCTATGTTAAAACGTTACAGAAAATTTCTCGATAAATACGCGATCGTTATACAAGAAAATAAAATAATATCTGTCATAATTTCCTTATATCTATATGATAGATAGATCGATATAAAAAGGAAGATAATCGACAGAACATATACGACGAATAATAATTGTCCCCCTTCCGTCCTTTCAGACCGTCCTCGCCGAAAGAAGCGAAAGATGGACCGCACGATGATGGCGTTGCTGATGGCGTACAAATTGAAATTCGTCGCTCTGATTCCAACGCTGGTCGGAGGGCTGATCTTGTTAAAAGCTACCGCGCTACTCGCAGGCTTCTTCTTCGCGCTGTTCGCCGCGGTTCTCGGTCTGAAAGTGAAGTGAACGAACCTATCTCACAGCGTGATTTATTACAAAAGTGTGGGCCGATATAATACTGATTTCGGTAAAACTGATCGCCGACTGTCGCGGCTGTTTCGAGGTTATGATCACGTGGATGCGCCGCACGCGCATGCGCAATGTACAACTGTGCGGCGACCCACGTGATCTTAGATCGAAGATTTAGGCGTAAGAATTGTAACATATCATATATGTATCTCGTTATCTGGTGTAGTTGAAGAATAAGCGTTGGAAATGATTTAAAAAAAGAACCGTTGTGTCTTCCTTATTCACGTCGATTATTCGCGTCTCTTTATTCGATCTCAGGCTCGATCCATCCATGGAGGAGTCTGTTACAAAAGTCAAAGAAGGATTAATATACGTAATACATAACGATAAATACGATAAATGGCGTTCAGGAATAAATAATCTTCTTATTAGGATAAGGAGGCCGCCCAGACATGAGAGATAATATTGTTAACGACGATAAATAGAAGTAAGAATTGTTTTTATCCCCTCGTAGTGGGGGAATTAAATTGAAATTCCGTATGCTCTTTTTGTCAGGTACACTTTTTCATAAATCCATAAACGTAAAAAGTATCTTTAACAATATTATTATCGATCGTTATTGGGCCTCTGGGTCTCCGTAGGTTAATTAAACTATTAGGGAAACGAATATGAGAGAGTTCGCCTTGTTTGCAATTGGGAGAAAACAATTGCAAATAATACGTAGAAGTAATTTTCTCTGTTTGTAATTCGTTTCGAACACAAAAGTGCCTCGACTCGGTTCCGTTAGAAATTCGCATGCGTGGAGATAGTTGTGCGGCTGTTATCGTGCCGAATGGATTCTTGGTTGACGAGGAACGAAAATGAGTGGCAGTTGTAATACGCGATGCACTTGATTATCGCGTGACGGTATTTCTTGATAAGTGTCGCGTTAACGTATATGTATCTATCCGATATATAATTGCTCTCGTTTCTCGTGTTGGAAAAAAATTTCGGCTTTAATTATTTTTAACAAATAGAATCCTCGTCCAATATTACGATTGTTCAATTTTATTTGTGGAGCAATATTTTGATATAAAAAAAAAAAAAGAAGATGCAAGTGAAAGATGTGGGAGAATCGCGAAGCCTGAATAAATTGAAACTAACAATTTAGAATAAATATGTATCATAGAATCGTGAATATTTTTGTAAAAAGTTACAAGCAAGAGACGTTAAAGAATTTTTTGTTTTTCGTAGAAAGGGAGGAAAATTGATTCGTTTTCGTTATAAATTATGCGAATATTCTTATCCATTTTTTCTTTGTTATTTTTCAGAATAGGGCACGTCTAACGAAAAAAAAAAAAAAGTAACTAACAGAATTTAATAATTTCTATGTCTCTTACATGATATATGATTATTCGACGTTATACATTGAACACCAATGTTTCTCGGAAGAAAGACTCGTGTCTCAAATGTAAGTTTTCTCTTCGATTATCTTATACTTATCCACGAATATTCATTTACGTATTCGTAACAACTACGTAACAACAACAGCGACAAACGAACTTCTTTCTTTATCGATAATTTCTTTATGTTAAAGAAAATGTAGCGAGGTTCACTGTGATGAGAATAATCCAATAAACGCGAGGGGCAAACGTCTGTGGACGGAATAGACGTCATTCGAGCGCCCGTGCACGCCGTGAAACGGAACCGGAAGAGATCTCCCTTCTTTCCCTTCTTCCGCCATCACGACATCAGTGCTGATGCCGCGCCGAGTAGGCCAAGTTCTGCGCGTATTCCCGCGCCAGTTCCGTCGTGGTGGCATCCGTCGTGCTGAGAACGTTCTTCAAACTCCTGTCCCAACCTCCGCCGCCATGCTGCCAACCGCCATGATCGTTGCTCTGCTTGGAGCTCAGCAATTTCTTCAAACCGATGATCAGAGACAAGACGAGGGCTATTTTGCTGATGATGAGTGCCTTCCCTGCCAGCAGGAACAGCACCCCGAGGGCGATCGGGATCATAGCGGCCATCTTCATGGCCATGCCCATCATCATCATTCCCATCATCTTCTTCATCTTGCCACGTCCCTCCTCCATACCCCGTTTCAATTCGCCGGGGCTGGTTCTTGGCAATCTGATCTGAACGTTGAAACTGTTCAGCAACGAAGCCACTCTGTCGAACAGGATCTCGTTCAGTATCTCGTCCTTGCTCGACGCGGTCCTCCCCAAAGTGGTCTCCAACTCGGCCAACGAGCTCCTCGTCGGTGTCTCCGTATCCGTGTTCCTGACCAGCTCGAAGTTCTCCGTGAGGGGAAGGGTGTGTATCCTGCCCAACCTCTCGAAGAACGCTATCGCCTTCTTCTTGAGACACGGTGACACGGCTATGTTCCGTTGCTGGCAATCCTCGTACACCCTGTACATCATCCTGAACCCCCTGTCGACGAGGCCCTCCTCCTCCTTAACCTCCGACACCCCCTCGCAGAGCGCACAGCACGCCAACAAGAGCGTCACACACTTGAATAGATGGACGATCGACATCTCTTCTCCTTTCCGAACAATCGAATCGATCCCCGAACCGATGAACTACTTTTATTTTATTTTCGTGCAGATCGATCAACGGACGCGAAAAAAGAGGAGACGCGAGATTGGATGAGATTCGCGCAGAGAGAGATAGAGAGAGACAGAGGCAAAGAGAGGGGGAGAGAGAGAGAGAGAGAGA